CTGTGTCGCACTGTGAGTGGGCCACGTATAATCTGCGACTAAGTTCGCAACGCCTGCAGCCCCTGTCGGCGCGTTCATATCTGATACCATTTCCTGTACTCCAGTGGAGATATAGATTTATTGTAAAGTGATGATAATACTTTGATTTTGTTCTTTCTTTTCATTGCATTTCAGTTTACTCATTACTTTATTCTTTTGGATAAGTATACCATGTATAAATGCCGCAGATATCATTTTTTGCTACGATGATAAACGGCGTCTTTAAAGATAAAATATGCTATTTTCCCTCAAAAATTATCTCCTTGATGCACCACTAAAGAAGATGGTTGTACAGTGTGTTTTTATTATGTATCTGTTCAACCTTTTTTCTTCTATTTCTCTGGCTGTAAATACCGGGTCGATTCTTGCATAATAGTTTTACATAAGTTAATGATCACAATTACTTGTCATTTTAGATCATTTCAGCAAATTTCATTTTTATTAATTGATTTTATTATTATTATGACTTACAAGAGTCATGAGGTCTGGTATGATAAGTATAAATCATTGATTCACAAATAGGTTAAAAAATGAACATTTATTAATTCCTTAACAATTAACACTATTTCCCTTTAAACGGAATTCTGATGAAGACCTATGTATTTTAGAAGGGAGTTATGCGTATACAGATTATCATTAGAGTAACAGTTAAAAAATCATTCATTTTCTGAAGATGTTCTTTCCAAGAATTGTATCCCTAATTTTCGTTTAAATTATATATTATACGATAAGGGATAGGACTCACGATAGCTCTGTAAATAGCTACGGTAACTTGTTTATTTTTTATTTTTTATTTGATTGTTTGTTTTCTGTTTCCTTTCCTTTTTATTCTTTTAACATAAAGTCGGCTGCGAAGTCCATATAATATAGAGACTTGTCCCTAATCATGATTAGAGCATGAGATGATGTATTGCATCATTAGGAAAATACAATGCATACATTTGAATACTTTGAATACTTCGAAAAAGGAAACTTCCTCTTTATGATCTTGGGACGATAAATCCTCAATCTCAATACAAAAGACAACGCACTTTTGCACACATTTATTAAAGGAACATATGACAACAAAACTTCACACAAATTATTATCAAATCGATGTTGTATGAAACGCCGATGTGGAAAATAAAGCTTAACACTGACATTACACTGACATTATTATACCAGTGTTCCAAAGCAACACTAGTATAATAATGTCAGTGTTTGTCCTAATAAAATGCATTGCTTACTCCAACACAACAGAAGCTAACCGAAATTCAATGGAGATTTTGTACTTAAACATAAGTGCTTATGAAGTGAGTTAGCATCACACTTGCATTAAAGTCGATCATGTGTCGTCAGCCTGAACACAGCATTTTATTATCTCGGTTGAGAAGACATTATCAGTCATCGTAAAAGGATCTCTACATTTTTCCTCTGGAGATTTAGCTCCCTAAAAAGTTTGCTCACGCTAAAAGAATGATGTACTTTACACCATGTCCTGACCTACTTTCTCAGAACTGGAACACTCCCTTTCTCCTCTATCACTTTTATGTGGGTGTTATTCGTGTTTTTTCTCGTCTGTATTCTGCCCCTAGCTGGTTAATGTGACTCCCTTAAGAACAAAAAGCAGAAAATTTGCTCGGCTGATGATAAGATCAATGACTATTATATGTACACACATTGCCACCAGGGACTATTTTCACGACAATTAGGTGTTGAAACACTGCAAACTTTCTTTGAAACGTGGTTAAACTTGCACGCTTACAACATTGAACCCTTAAATATATCGCGCATTAATTTCACAGAATTTCAATAAGCGTATATAGAGATAAAATTCAAAGTGTGTGACATGGTTTTTATTAGGGAGACACTTCGGGGGTGAAGAGGAAAGGTCAATTAACAATGGTTTTAAGGATTCTTTATATAGTCATACCTCCCGATTTCTAGCTAGCCATTCCATGTCTGCACTGTCTCATTTAGAATATATGAAGAGAGTGCATTAGAAGTCTATTCGTGGGCGGTAATGACTCCATTGTTATTGGTAACGTATACTGTTTTACGCTTTCTAAGGAGGGTAGACTTGTAAATGTTGCATAAAAATATTGATTGCCTTGACTGTCGCCACAGCTATCTGGGTGTCTGCCTGTCCCTCTATTTATTGATGTTTATATCAGCCAGCTCTCTCAAAATAGTAATTCTAGGTCACAAGTTCTGATTGGTACTTTTGCAAGTTCTTCAATTTGCGATTATTGGGAATTTTTTTCGTCATTCTATAATACACAGTTAATTTTTTCATTTCATTAATAAGTAATATAGAGACTTAATAATGGCATTGCATTTTAAAATATTCTATACAACCGCGCACGAAAATAATCAACGACGGCTTTCAAGTAAAGCCACTTGATTTTATAACAGTGACAACATAACAGTACTCGATTAACCTCTGGATTACTTCAAGTCTTTCTGGTAATCATGGTGGTAAAGCCCACATAACATGTTATTTACACTTGATAAAGATATTCGTTCTCGTCTATAAGACGTACGATTGTCTGTAATTTGAATACAAGTTGTGATACTTCCCCCCCCCCTCAAGATGTTTCTCTTTTCATTTTCGGAAAGAAATAGTTTACTGCCTTTTGATTCTATCCGATGCAGGTGGGATAGGTACGCGCTCACACCCCCCCCCCCCCACACACACACGAACACATACACACACACACACCCACACGCACAGAGGCGCGCACACGCACGTACCCTTATGATTATATAAACCTACATGCATAGAGCAGTTTTATATTATCGATCTAATACGATTTACAGATGTAACAAGTAAAAAATAAGGTCGAATCGGCGAGCCGGTTTCCGAATAAAATAATGAAAAGCCACGTGGTATATTAACGTAATCTTTACTTTGGTAATCCCAATTCGGTTGACCTCGGCCTCCTTTCCCATCTCACCCCAGTCTACCACGGATCGAAGATCCGGGAATTTTCCCTTCCCGGCATCCCCCGCAGCCAAACTTCCTTTCTTCCTCTCCCCAATCACCTCTTATCACGAATGTGCCGTAAAGTCGGTCAGTCGACCGAGGTTCCAGGGGCTTAAGTTTTTTTTTCTTAATGTTCGACACCCCATGTCCATGGCCGAGGGGCAATCTCCTATCCCGGAGTTATTATTAATTCTGATGCGGTTCGAGCACCCCATCTTGTGTGATTTAAATGAATAATTTATATGGATCATCCCCCGGCACCAACGTTTGGAAAGAGGAAGAGGGGGGAGAGGAGAGTCTTGTCGAGATCATAAATAAAAAAATGACCGTCATGTTTGAATGTCCTAATTATTACCCGAATCGATGGATCGTGAGTGTTAATGATGATAGGTTGCCGAGATTCATTCACTAAATATAGCTGAATTCTACGACGTGGATGATCGTCATTGTATTTTAACCTTAGGTCAAAGAAAACAAACAGTGACTAGAAATAGATGATGGGGGTTCTTCTTGGCTCGTGAAGACGTACGAACGCTTTATAGAACATAATCAAACAGATATAACACCATGCATCATCTTGTTCTTCAGCGCTGCAATGACAGTTGAAATAAGTACATGTACTTATATCAAAGCCGAAGGCAAGAATTCCCCAAAGTTAATTTCGAAACATATAAGAATTAAATCTCTCCCTCTCCCTCTCTTTAATAAACTCGTCATTATCGTTTCTAAACTGTGATTGCCAGAGGTAGTAACTCTACTTAAAATGAAACGAGTAAGATTGCATTATTACTAATACATGTACCATTTTCATCAAGACGATTTAGCTCAACTAGTAACTCAAAGTTTGTTTGAAGGCTTGTGCCAAATTTGTAAAGACTCTATCGTCTGCTCAGAGCCAGAAGGTTGTGTTAACTCTATGTTATAAATATATGAATATATGACTTAAAGCCCTTCTGACCCCACACAGACGCTATTTATTTTGAATTTCTACATGGTGGTTACTCTAAGGGCACCATATATCAGGTAAATTGGCTAATTCACGCAATAGATAAGGATATGGGTACTCTTTTTAAAAAAAGAGTGAATTTTCACTCTATTTTCACTTTCTTTGGAGTGACGTCCGTGATCACTTGTTTAGGAGTGAAAATCGATTGATTTTAGAGTGCTCTCTAAGAAGAAAAGAGTGAATGTTCACTCTATTTTCACTACATTTTCATTCTCCAGAGGAGTGACGTCCGTGATCACTCGACGGAAAAAGTAAATAAAACGACAAATGAATGAAGGAAACGAAACAATATAAGCCGACAGATCATAATAGAAGGAGAAAGAAGGAGTGAGAGGGGGTTGTATCTGTAAGCAAATGGTAAGCATGCACTCAGTGGCGCTTTTGTAGCGTATTATGTCACAACGCTCCACTCGCAGAACTGACGTGGCGGCATCTATCTAGTATTTTTGACCAATCAGGGAGGAGGGTTGTCATAACACTGAAAGTAGTGCGCCAAATTCACTAGAGAGCCGCCGTGTGATGGGTGCTACCAGTCAGCTCTGTCGTCTGTTCCATATAAATCGCCCTGAACAGCGTGCACAGATCAACAGACAGCCTGATAATCCCCAGCACCAGACGAACTCGTATCATATTTTCTACTCACCATCACTCGGCAGACAGGAGATTCGTTAACACCGGCTCACGGGCATCATAGCTGAGGTATGCCAGTTGGGTTGACGGGGGATAGCCCGACTCTCATCCCGAAGAATTTCCGTTTCAATCCACCGCAATACTTGGTGAACATTCCTGTCAGTGTTTAGTCTGTAGTCGCCTGTCACTCTTTACGATAACTGGAGTGCAAACAATCTTCCAGAGCTGCAATCAGCATCCTCCTTAAACGCAAAACTGTGAACTTGCAAGTTTTCTTTTAAAACTCACTCACCGTTAGCCTTGTGACTAACTGGTTCTTGAGCTTGCCGCGATCATTTACCATTAGAAACAGTTACAATAATGGCTCAACTGGTTGGAAGTTGGAAGCTAGTCCGCAGTGAGAGTTTTGAGGAATACCTGAAAGAGATGGGTGTGAATACCCCAATGCGGAAGCTGGCGACCCACATGCATCCTTCTTGCGAAATCAAGCGAGACGGGGATTCCTTCAGCATCAAAATGAACGTCCCTGTCATCACCATACACGAACAGGGGTTTACCATCGGCGTCCCCTTCGAAGACCTGCTCCCCAACGGCCTGAAGCAGATGACCATCGCCAGACTGGAAGATGAAAACAAGATCAGATTCCTGGAGGAGGAAGAGTCTGATAAACCACACGTGGTCGTACGCGAAGTCATTGGCGATGAGATGATCATGACTTGTTCCAAGGGCGATGTCAAATGTACCCGGATCTTCAAGCGGATCGAAAACTAAGCAGAGGAAGGAGATTGATCACCGCAGTCAGCTCCCGTATAACACAAGGTCCATTACTCGGACGACCGGAAACATCGCCGACACCCTAAATTGGTAAACCACAAGTTTAACTGTTATATAGCACTATATGTAGTCTAAAAAGTACATTTAGCTTCACTTCAACTAACAGTGTACGCTTTTACCACTAGTAATCTCATTTTATTAGTGGCTTCCAATACTTCAAGGACTCTTAAATTAATTTTCTTGTTTGGAAACCACAATGAGCCGTGTCGTCTATGTGCCTAGTGTATACAAAATAAACTGACGTCTACTAACACATGTTATGTCACGCCCGTTGCACACGAAGAATTATTCCGCTGACGCAGGACTGCGTTAAAGATTGACTCAGTCTTTGACGTACCATGAAAGAGTGAACGACATCACACACAGAGCACATGAAAAATAACAGTTAATTGCTTTTGCGTACGGGCTAATTAGCTGCAGAGGCTTGAAAAGCGCATCTTTTGACGCAGTCGAACTTGGGTCTCGTGTGCAACGGGCGATCGAGAAATGGCGTTAGACGCAGCATTGTTTCTGTCAAAGAGGTCTTTGAAAGGCTATGCAGTATGTGAGTACATATTACATGTTGAATTCATGTTAAAAACCTATGAGAAGCAGCTGCTATTCACAACGTGTGTATTATCACTCTAATCTATATAAATATATTTGTATATTTAGAACAGGAATTTTTGCTGCAATTCGATCGACCAAGTTAACACTATGTTTGTCATTATGCCTTTTGTGCTTACGTGTGAATAATATTCCTGGAATTATCGGTGACCAATTTTTGCTCATTTTGTTGAGTGCATTGTGATGTTTTTTGTATGATTTTAAATTATAGTAGTGGCATTGAGATTATTGATCTGAATCATTCTGTACATTGTACAGAAGTAATTATAACGTCGACTTGTCAATAAAAAATTAAAAAATAAACGTCGAAACCACCAAAATAAGCTAATATTTCACAATTTCAAATTATAAAGTGAGAAAAAAAAATCAATATTGCTCAACAAATAGACAGGTCTAAACTCACGCAAATCACTTTCAAACGTTACCATATGAAAAATATTGAATCCAGAATTGTATAAATCATATATTCGGTGAGGGTAATCTTACAATAGACCTGTCTTTTAATAACTGATGGTTATTCTTCATCATGCTTTTGACGATGGTGCAACACGTGTCATTTTGTACTATGATTTGATTTCGCAATATCTGAATATTCTTCCTTTACATGGGCATGATAGATGTCATCTCAAGTTACTGCCAGACTTGTAAAAGATAGCGGCATCTGTTATTATCTAAATATTGTCTGTATATAAATATGTATTACGTTCATGTAATAAGACAATGGATGTGTGTCTCATGAATGCATCGTTTAACGACTTAATCAGCAACTGAAGTAGTTCAATTTAAGATGTTAAGTATGCTGTAAAGAGATACTGTGTATTTTAGCTTCTCATTCATTATTATAGAATCACACTAAGATTTCATTAGTCTAACTATTCTTACCCGTTTCCTCATCCTATAAAATTACTTAAGATTATAAAATAAAACTTTTAAGTTTGTACCATCCGAAATATAAGGGTTTTAATCTGATTCATTGCACCCTTCAAAGTGCAAATCGCACATACACTCTAAAAACTGAAATGTGAAATGTCAATTAAAAAGGGCCGAGGAGTGACCACTCTTTCAGAATGTCAGATTGTTTCTTTTAACCTGCTAGATTCAACCTTTATAGTGTTGGATCCAGCACGTTCAAAGTGTTAATCTACCATTTTGAAAGAGTGGTCACTCCTCGGCCCTTTTAAATGGTGATTTAACATTTCAGTTTTTAGAGTGTAGTCTTTCGAAAGGCTTAACTGCTGTAAATTGTAAGTTTAAGGATGCCAGGTGCATCATGCAAAAGTTGAAGCTAACGGATAAAATTGGGCATTTTTTAAGGGTTCTACTACTGTACCGTTTTAGGTTGCAAATATAAAACCTGCATTCTTTGGTGTCTACTATGAAGCACAATGTGCAAATGTTAATGATATGTAAATACTGATGATATGAACAAATGTAAAAGTTACCACTTTATGTAATAACTTCAGATAAAAAACTAAGTGCACTCTGCTAAATTCAATCGAAGCATACGATTTGGTTTAAGTGAATCGTACTACCCTTCAGTGAATGTTTAATTTGCGTAACTATTTCCAAGTAGTGTTGTCTACTTCAAAGAAAGTATAAAATCATTTGGGCAATTTCTTGACTTTATTGAATGAGGTTAACTATTGATTGTTTAGTGTATTGAGTATAGTGAGGTAGCAGTGGCAATAAGAAAAAGTGTACAAGCAGTTCTCTTTAAGAATGAACGTCTACACCGCAGCCGTCTGGAGTTTCACAATATGCATAAATTATGTTTAAAAATATACAGTAATAAAAGAACAACGAAATGTTTCAGCATCAACGTAACCACATGTTTGTTATGTTTATTTTGTTCTTATTGAATGCAATTCGAGCAAAGTGCACTCCATATTTTTCAAGCATTGTGTTGGTAAACTTGACATTGTGATGAGCTCGTCAAAGAGCTTCTGACCTTGGGGGAGTTCTATTTTCAGGTGAGTCTTAATTGAGATGAAAAACAGGGGATGCAATGTGCGACCACATTTCGATCTGGCGTGCGACCAGCGTATCTGGTATGGTTGGGAGACCCTGACATTTTATCGATCCGAGACTAAACAAAACAGACAAGCTCATTTTTTCCAGGTAGAAATCAAAGCGTTCCCAACGGCTATATCCCTGAATATGCCTTCCCCCTTATTCTCTCTCCTCTCACTCTCTCTCTCTCTCTCTATCTCTATCTGTTCATCATTAACTTTGGTGGGGAGGGGGAAAGGGAACAAACAAATTAAATCGATATAGTACCGTAGCAGATTTGAAGGTCAGAGGCACCCTACCGTCAAAGATTAATAATGTCAAGGAGAATATTGAGAAGAGTCATCCAAAGTTTGTTCGTGTGTGTGTATGTATGTGTGCTGTATGTGCATATTGTGTTTGTTTGAATACCACAGAGGAGTTTCCTTCAACGGGTGGAGTCGGTATAGCTTCACCCACTAAAAGATGCATGCACCTGAAAACAAAACAGAAGAAAAAAATTTAAAAGGTACACATATTCAATTTCACTACCAGATTAATAGGCCCAATTATATATTTCGAGATGATTTTATTTCCATCGCTCTGTTACTATGGAAATAAAGTAGTAAAATTACACATTCATTCAGCAAATTCCACTGAGACATCACGATGTTTGTCTGTTCGTTTTTATGCCTCCGCCACCGAAGGTGGTGCCGGAGGCATCATGTTTTCGGGTTGTCCGTCCGTACGTCCGTCCGTCCGTACGTCCGTCCGTCCGTCCGTACGTCCGTCCCGTTTGACCGTTATCACAATATCTCAAGAACCATTTAAGATTTAAACTTAAGACTCGGGAATAGTATTTATCACCATAGGAAGACGATCTGATTAGATTTTGGAGTACGTAGGTCAAAGGTCACAGGTCACAGAGGTCAACTTATGAAATTCCTTGTATTGAGTTTGTTAGCGCGATATCTCAAGAACCATTTGAGATTTAAACTTCAAACTTAAGGATAGTATGTATCACCATAGGAAGACGATCTGATTAGATTTTGGAGCACGTATGTCAAAGGTCAAGGGTCACAGAGGTCAACTTATGAAATTCCATACATTGAGATTGTTATCATGATATCTCAAGAACCACTGGAGATTTAAACTTCAAACTTGGTGATAGTGTGTATCACTATAGGAAAACAATCTGATTACATTTTGGAGCACGTAGGTCAAAGGTCAAGGGTCATAGAGGTCAACTTATGAAATTCCATACATTGAGATTGTTATCATATCTCAAGAACCACTGGAGATGTAAAAACTTCAAACTTAAGGATAGTATGTATCACCATAGGAAGACGATCTGATTAGATTTTAGAGCACGTAGGTCAAAGGTCAAGGGTCACAGAGGTCAACTTATGAAATTCCATACATTGAGATTGTTATCATAATATCTCAAGAACCACTGGAGATTTAAACTTCAAACTTAATGATAGTGTGTATCACCATAAGAAGACAATCTGATTAGATTTTGGAGCACGTAGGTCAAAGGTCAAAGGCCACAGCGCACATTATGAATGCAAAAACAGCTTGTGATCGCGTTATCTCAAGAACCGATTGATGGATTCATGCCAAAATTAGGTCATGTTTGTTACTTACAGAGCCAATGAACTGAGTAGATTCTTGGTTCATAAGGTCAAAGGTCAAAGGTCATGGGCCCATTATGTATGCAAAAATAGCTTGTGAACGCATTCTCATTAGAACTGACAGATGGATTACTATTTAACTCAGAACATCTTGCAGAGCCAATGAACTGAGTAGATTTTATGGTCATGAGGTCAAAGATCAAAGGGTCATATATGTATATGAGAAATTGCTTGTAATCACAATATTCTGAGAACCTGTCAATGGATTACCATTGAACGTGAATTCAATTTTTTTTTTCTGTTTTGGTTTGTAAAATTGCTCTATAACGGAGGCATCATTTTCGACTGCGCGCAGTCGAATTCCATCTAGTTTTTTTATATGTTTAAAAAAAACCACCTGATTGTAGAATATGATAGCCTTCAACAATCTGGAATAACGTTTATCTGTGCTGAGAAATTTGTGACATCGGATATTTTTTTTCTCTCTCTAGGGTCACATAAATCGAGGTTGAGGAAAGGCACGGATCGATAAGTAGGCCTCATCAAGTACGTTTTTTTTATTCGAAATCATATTTTGCCACACTCAATTACATCATGTACCAAAAACATATACGGCGTATGTGCGCGCGTGAAAGTGCGTGTGCGTTTTTGTGTGGTTGTGTTTTTTTTTTGTGTGTGTGGATGTATGTGGGTGTGTGCTGTTGTGGTGAT